CGTGTGCCCGTCGAATCGGTTGCAGTCGGAGGCGCAGCAGCAGCGAAACCAGAAACCCAAGGTGCGGTTGTAGAAGTCTCAGAGAGCATCGTCGAGCAGGGCGGTGCTGGCTTTGCAGCAGTGTCACAAGCGTCGAAAGTCATCGCTGCGCTGGGGGACTTGCACGCGACCAGGCTCCAATCGGAGGAGTTCTACAAGGCGCTTCAGACGATGGTACTCGGAACGACGAAGTGCGCCGAGGCCTTGACCAAGAGGACCAGTGACGTGGAGCTCGCCGAGAAGCTGGGCGAGATCGGGTGTGCGAAGGTGCTGTTGGCAACGCTCGAGGACAACCGTCAGAACCTCAAAGATATGATGGACTACATGGGCGCGGTCGTGGAGCTCTTACCCGTGTTTGTTGATGGGGGGTCCGATGCGCTATTCGATGCAACCACCACCAATCCAAAGACCAAGGAGCACACGATCAACCTGTCCCGCCTGCAACACCAGCTAGAGGGCGTCAATGCGATTCTGTTCCATGGCGAAAGCACCGTGCAAGACGCGAACGTCTTTCACTCCATCAGCGAGGCTTTCATGATCTTCAAGGCCAACTTCGGCGACATTACCTACCAGCATGCAGCGGCCGTCTGGCTTGCCCCCCGCGTGGTCAATATGTTGGCTTTCAGCGACCTCGAGATCGGTGCGGTCCAGGATGACGTGTTGGTGTCAACCCTCGATGCTCAGATCCTAGGGCGCCTCGTTCGCAAGCCAGGTGCCGACGACCCCTTGCCTTCCGAAGTCGTGGAGGCGCTGCAGACGACGGCCGACTCTGACACAATGCTCGAAAGCTTCACCCACAACAAGGCGCTGACTGCATTGAAGGACTTCGCCGAAGCGACGAGCATGACTGAGATGCGCACTTGCGGCGCCGTGTTGGCAGATGGTCGCCAGGTCAGGGGGCGAGGGCAACGGGCACGCACTAACAGTCCCTCAGTGGTAACTTTCTAAACGACTGGCCTAGGGAGACGGTAGAGGGGACGGGGCAAGGTAAGCAGGGGCCAGTGCGTTTCGTTGCTGTCTCGGGACCCCCGAAAGGGCGAGGACTGGCCAGTGCCAATGCACATCGCGACATATGTGTTTGACGTCATGTGCGCTGTGAGGGACCAGTTCATGCTGGCCACGGTGCTCCAGCACTACCTCATCGACCCGACCGCCGAGCGTAAGGAGATGTTTGAGAAGAGCATCGAACCCCATCCGTCTTGCAACATCCAGGTCAATGCGCTGGTGCTCATGTTTTCTCGTGCGAAGGTGATCGACGACTTGGTCAACGCCGACGCTGGGAGGTCGCTTGAGAGAGATGGATGGAGCTTGCGAATCCCCTTGCAATCGTTGGGCCGTTGGGCCCTGCAGATGGCTTCTTTTGCTGGGAGGTGCCGCGATGCTGTTATGGCGCATCGCATGACATACCTATCCGCCGTGGTCTCCGAGTGCCAGTCGACGATGCCACAGTGGGAGTCGATCTTCAAGGACGGAGTGCTCAACATGAAGATGGCGATCGACCTGCTGGACGAGAAGTTGCCTCCCACCGTGGCCAGCTACAACCGCATATACCAAGTGCTGGGCAAAGTTTCGGTGATTTCAAAACGCATTGAGCTGTCGCCGCCAGTGGACAAGCATCCAACTACGTCGTCTGGATGCGCTGTGGCGTCGACGCTCCTGGCGAAGTTCTACCAGGCGACGGTGCTCATCCAGGGCGTCAACTTGCTGAGGTTCCAGTCACAGGGCCCAAGTGCGTCGACGAAAGCGTCCAGCTTCATCAAGGAGCATCAAGAGAAGAAGAAAGTGCAGTTGCCCGACGCCTTCTGGAGCGAGCTGAAATGCATCGTGGACGGTTCTGCAACGGTCTTCAGCGACGGGCACGCCGTGGTCAAGCGAGAGGGGGCGGTCGGCACACCAGCGTCGCCAGCCACAGGCAGCCTTCGGAGGAGCGGGAGTTCGTCGGCAATTTCGACTTCGGCGGGGACGATGTCGGCATTGTCTCAGAGCCCCGCCTCGGCGTCCACTGCAGCCTCTCCCCTGGGGGGGGAGGCGACGGGCCTGTCCCAGGCGCCAGCTGCCAAGAGGCCCAGGCTCGCGCGTCTCAGCGGCACGAAGCGGGCTCGTTAGAATGCATTTTGCAATTTAGGGAGTTGGGGCAGAGTGCCCCCCAGGTTTAGTCATATCACTGGTTTCCGTCGACGGCGTGACGTAAATCGATGTGTAGGTCATAGGGCCAAGCGGGGGTCTCCGCCCCCAGGCATCCAGGGCGGTCTTCTGGGGGTGTTGCCGAAGCCTGGCTATGCGTCAAGCCGTCGACCGAAGCAAGTGGGTATGATCGCGTGATCTCGCATGCGCACTGGCCGCCAGTGCGTGTTGAGAAGTGCATCCCGATGGTTCGCTGGGTACGGGTGCATTAGCATTTTCATTACACACAGGGTTGGTGTTATAGTTCACATCAGTTTCTCCCTTAATATCCTTCGTCCCCGTTGCCATCAACACCATCATCACTATCATAACCACAACCACCATCACCACCACCATCATCCGCACCGCCCTCACAGCGCGAAACGGGATGCAAGCACCTCTAGGGTGGATAGTGGGTTGACCTGCCTGTCGGCGGGATGATGTGTTCAGGCCGAACTCGGGAGGCCGAGTTGTCGGCGCTTCTTCCTCCTGCTCTTCCTCCTTACCATTCTCCTCCCAGCGTCGTGTAAGAGTGGGGGTGGGAACGGGGCGGGGGGACGGATGGGGCGACAGGCTCGATGGGGGATGAGAAAAGGAGTGAGGGCAATGGCGGCGACGGGCATACGGCTCGAAGAGAGCGCTCAAGATGGACTCCAGGAGGGCAGCAGACAAATGCTGCAACAAAATGGACCCCCTGTAGCATCCACTGGGTAGCTTCCCGAGGCCCTCTTGAAGTCTGTTCGCGGATTGCCTTGCCCCCAATCAAAGGCTTCCTGGGGCTCTCAGGGGACCCCCCCAACAAGGGCTCCGAATGCGCCCCTGTAGTCGGACCCCCGTGCACGCGGGGGGCGGACGAGGGTCCGCATGCGGACTGGGCGTGGGGTGGGGAGGGGGAGAGGGCGAGATGCTCATGTCTGGGGTAATCCGATAAGGGTGTTGGGGAAATGGGCTGGTAATTCAAGGGAGGTGAAGGGGGGAAGTGAAGAACTGACCCATCCCAGACACCCCACGTCCTCACATCCCTCTTTGGCGCTGGCAGCTGGGCCGCAAAACGCGACGCAGACGGGGTGTACACGGGAAAGATAAATAAGGCGGAAGAGACGGATGACGGAAGGAGTGGGGATCAGGAGTTGGGGGTCGGAGAACGGAGGGGGAGGGGGCAAAGGAGGTGGCGGAGGAGAGGGAGGAGCATCGGGAGATGGAGGAGGAGAAGGGAGAGGGAGGCGGTGAGAGAGGATGGGGGAGGAACGAGCAGCGCGTAGCAGTGAAGGAGAAGTTTTGAGACTTCGCCAAAGGATTGGTGGGGAGTGCGCCTTGCGCACCTCCTTGGCTCGTTCCCTTTCTTTGCCTCCTGTCGCTCATGCATTATGGCGTCTCCTCGTTCTACTGCCGCCCTCCTTTTTGTGGCTGGGGGCCACCGCTCTCGTTCAGTATGGCATGAATCGCAGTCGGTTACCTGACGTGTTATGCCACATCACATCATCATAATGCTGCACGCCATAACGCATAGCCTTGCGTTGCATTGCATAGCGCGCTCCATAGCGCATGGCAGTGCATGGGATTGCACATTGCCTTGCACAATGAGTTGCATTGCATTGAATTGCACAATGCAGTAGCGTTTCTGGAGACATGGTTTGGGTATGTCTGACCGCTTAGAACGACCCGATTGCCCTTCGGAGTCAACTGAGGAATTGACGGCAAATCGCCCACTCCAGATGCGACCATGCTTCACCTGCTTGCTACTCCTACTTGCTGCCGTTCTGGCCTTCCATGCAATGCTGACCCAATGGCCGAAGTGAAACCCTGCTTGCCTCCAGGGTCCTCTGGGTTTCTTGAGAGCGCGACGCTCCCGCACCGAAAAGCAGTGGACGCCCTGGGGTCTCAGGGTTGGGTCTCTTGTGGAAGGTTTCTTGTGGACTGGCCTCCACTGTACCTTGGGCTATCTCGCTGCTTTTTTGGACCGCCTTGGCGCTTCGGTTGGACCACCTGAGGCCGTCTTGAGGCGTCTCGGGGCTCTGGAGGGGCTCCGGGGGCCCCGGGGATGCGTCTAGGAGCGTCTCCCCCCCCTCAAGCGGCATTCGGGGCCCCAGGGGAGGGGGAAATGGGGAGGAGGACAGGCACCCGACACACGCGTTTATACGCCCAGCAAGCGGGGGTGTCGGCAGATATTTGCCTTCTCGCCGAGGCCGTCCTGGGCGCTCCAACGTCTCGCGGATCCCCCCGTCCAGGCCCAGGGGAGGGGGTAATTAGGGGGAGGGGTAAACCCCTCCCCGAAGGGGAAGAAGGGGGTTGGAAGAGGCCCCCCCGGAACCATTCACGCCCTCATTTGAGGGCGAATGGGCGACCGACCAGCGGTGCCAGGCAGAGTAGACAATACTCGACGCAAAGTGTACCCCGCGCGAAGGCTGTTAGAAATCCCGGAATCCCCAGAACGTATCAATAGCAAATTGTGTAAATTTATTTTTCTCCTCCTATTAAGGGCTGGTGGGATTGGCAGACGCGAGACACATGCCCTGACAGCTGCCACTAGATTGGGCTTGCAGACCATCTCCGAGGGAAGAAGCACGGTGATCATGACCAAGATATAATGCGATCTTGTCGACGCCGATCTTTTGTCATGGTCGATGTTGTCTGCCGTCGATTCGCGAGGATAGTCCACGAGCTGGCGATGACCAAGATGCACGAGGACCTAGATCGACGACATCGTTTCCGCGTTCAGTCTTGGCCATGGTCGTCGTTTCCTTTCCCTCCGCATCTGCCGACCTGCGTGATGACCGGCTGCCCTCGCCCGAAGCCAGGAGCTGGAGATCGGCGGGGACTTCCACCTTCACGAGCAGCCTCGCAGTATGGCCTCGGGCAAGTGGAAGGACTGCACACGCTGCCTCTGTGGCGCGCGCGCGCGCGCTCGCGAGAGTGTCTGCACACCTGCCGGCAGGGCCGAGACATTGGTGCAGCGAGTCTTCCCTCCCCTGCTGTCTCACCTCTCCAAACCTCCCCTCTTCGCCCCCCTGCGATGATGCAACGCGTGGGAGGTCAAGCTCAGCATTAGCGCTGGTATATTCGTGGTCGAAGACCGGCCTAATCCAGCATAGTCCCGTTCGATCCGGTAGCATCCCGCCGAGCCCCGCTGAATCTCTGGCTTGTTCCTGGGACGAGTCTGAGCCAATCCAGCTCAGCGGCCCCCTGCTCGGACATGACAGCATGGAGTCGTTCTCGCGAAGATTTTCCAGGAGCTGCTTCCTGCCTGCGGCAGGGTGGACTGCTGCCTGCGGCCGCCGGAGCTCCCCGCTTCTGGCCTCCAGCAGACCCAGCTTAGGCTCGGGGGTCTCCTCCTCCTCCTCCTCCTCCTCCTCCTCCGCCTGCTCCGCCCCTCCTCCTCCCTCCTCCTCCTCCTCCTCCTCCTCCTCTCCTCTCCTCCTCCTCCTCCTCCTCCTCCTCCTCCCTCCTCCTCCTCCTCCTCCTCCTCCTCTCCTCTCCTCCTCCTCCTCCTCCTCCTCCTCCTCCCTCCTCCTCCTCCTCCTCTCCTCCCTCCTCCTCCCTCCTCCTCCTCCTCTCTCCTCCTCCTCCTCCCCTCCTCTCCTCCCAGGGGGCAGCTGGACGGAGAGGTGGGCAGGGCCGCCGCGGCGCCTCGCCGCACAGAGCAGGCCTTCTCTCCCGCGCCCGCCCGGCCCAGGGGGGCCCGGGCTGGCATCGAGGGGGGGAGGGGGGGGAGGGGGGGAGGGGGGGAGGGGGGGGGGGGAGGGGGGGAGGGGGGGAGGGGGGGAGGGGGGGAGGGAGGGCTGCCCCATCGAGTGCGCGCGCCCGTGTCGTGCACGACGCGTCTTGCGCGAGTGATTCTCAGGAGGGGAGAAACACACACACAGACACAATAAGTCGTCGATTCCCGAGAAAATATGGGACGATAATGGGAAGTCGGGGGGGAGGCAAGCACCCAGGAAATGCAGGAAAATATGGGGAATCCTGTTATTTGTGTCTATTTATTTCTGTGTCGCAGGGCCCCTTCAGATTCGCCCGTGATTCAGCCGACCGACGCCACACTCGTCGACACTCCTTGATTGAAGATCGGTTGCCAGTTTTGTTTGATCATTCCCTGATGGCGTTTCGCTGGAGGGTTCTTACGGAGTTCAGATGTTCCTCTCGCCAGAATCTCCACGGGGGTGCCAGGGGGAGGCGTCTCTCGTGCTCGGCGGCGGTCCGGCAGGGCTTACTAATCATGGTGTTCTGGTTCGATTTGGTCCAGAAGTGCGACTCACTATGGTGTTCTGGCGGCCTGGAATTTGCCGGCAGCGTTCGCTATGGTGTTCTGATTCGATTTGGCCCAGAAGTGCGACTCGCTATTATACTCGGGCTCGATTTGGTATAGGAATGAGGCTCACTACAAGTGTTCTGGCCTGATATAGGCTCTCTCAGATTTAGGAATGAGCTTCACTACGGTGTTCTGGCCTCATTCGGTTCAGAAATGTGACTTGCTGTGGTGCTTTTTGGGGCTTGAATCGCATTTTTTTCGTTGATATGATTTCCTTGTTCCTCATGGGTTGACGAATCTTTTCTGTTGCTGCACGTGCAAGGTTCAGTTCAATCCGATCGATCCGATTCGTTATCGATGTCGGCCAGCCCGATCCGATTAGATTGCGATATTCCGATTTCCGAAAACCTCGTTCTGTGGACGCTTGGAAGGGGGGTGTCCTATCTGGGGGGCCCCCCCCTGACTTGCAAGGGGGGAGGTTCTACCGCGCCCCCTCCGGTTGAATTACAAAGGGGACAATTTCAAATCGATGGAGGCCCCCCCCCTTGCAGCCGACGACGGTGGGCGCTGGCGCGGGCGCATGCTCCGTTGGTCAGCGACGACGACGACGACGACGGCGATCGAGCCGCCGTCGTAGGATGGTATCAAGGCTGGGGCGAACCCGTAGTAGGCTTCTATCAGAGGTGGATCGAGCTCTCGTAGAATTCAACTCGAGCTTGATCTAGTTATGCTAGGTTTCTATCAGAGGTGGATCGAGAATCCATAGGATGCAATCAGAGCTGGGTGCAGCTATAATATGATTCTGTTAGTGTAGGATGGGCTCCGCTAGGATGGTATAAACATTGGACCAGGTATCATATTCAGCTATACTAGGATTCTATCATGGACGCTTCGCGTAACCCCCCATCGCATCCAGTAGCGATGTCCAGACGATTCGCCTTGATCAGGGATGTGAAGGAGAGTGCGGTGGAATAGAGGTCTAGGTAAGACGTCGTGCCTCACAAGGGGGAGGACAGAGGTTGAAATGTTTTTTTGATTCAGCCTGGCGTTTCAACATTTGTGTGCCGTCATTCCGCTAAAGGCAGCGCGGGTTGGTGCCACGCATCATTGGCTACCGAGACAAGGCTGCACGTGTGCGTCTTCGCTTGTGGAGGTCGATATGCATATCCTTCAGTAAATTGGCTGCCGCCACACGGGAAGGGGGAAAGGAGACAAAAAGGAAAGAGGGGGAGGCCATGGTGAAATAAAGCCAATCGCCAAACGCCAGGGGCGGCAGCCAACGCCGCGACGTGCACGCGCTTGCATTCAGAGGCCACAGTGGGCTATCCTCTGACAAAAGGCGGATGGCCGGTGTGGTCAAGCCCTGTCCCGTTAAGCAGCAAACGTGCGTCAAACAGGTGCCTGAGTAGGCAACACAGAGAGGCCAGGCCCTATGGCCATCGCGAATCGGGGCAGAGAGGAGGACAAAGGAAAAACCATCATGAATGGAGTGGCAAGTGGAGGTGGCGCAGCGAAAGCCCACGACCGAAACGTAAATGGAATAAAGGAAGGCTGCTTAAGCCGTCGCGCTTTCGTTCGAGTCATGGCCTGCCATCACTTTCTCCTGGTTAAGCAGGCGATTGACTTGGAAATTACTCCGACGGAAGGACCCCGCATGAGAATCCGTTCAGTCTGCCCTTAGCCCTTTCCTCCCCGCCGTGGCAGACATCCTCCTCTCGCCCTTTGCTCTGCCCTCTCCTCCTCCTCCTCCTATTTCTACTCCTCCTTCTATTTATCCTCCTCCTCCTCCTTCTCCACCTCATCATCGTCGCCCTTTCCCAATCCCTTCTCCGTCGTCGTCCTTCCCTTGCTTCTTCTCCATGTGCTCCCCCGTTCCCCCTGGTCGGGGTAAACAAATCGATTTCCCTCGGCGCCGTCGCCGCCTCGGCCAGCGCGCGCGCGCATTCGCCGACGGCTGGTTCGCGAAGCCTTTGGGACAGCTCCGCGGGCCATGCCTTTGGGACAACCCCGCGGGCCGCTGGGGCGCGGGGGCAGGCCGTCGGGACAACCCCGCGGGCCAGACCGTTGGGACAACCCCGCGGGCCTCTAGCTGCGCGCCGCGGCGCTCATGCGGGAGGCAGCACGAAGCCAAGCTCCGCGGCAAACTGCTCGGCCTCATACCTGGAGGTCTTCGCTTTCTCTTCGAACTTCTTGAGCGCCTTCCGCAATGACGCCAGCGGCCCGCGCTCCAGAAACTTGCGCGAGGGCGGCCGCAGGATCAGCAAGTTCCGCATGCGCGTGGCGCGGGAGAACATGACGTAGAAGGGGCAGCCACCTCGACCGACATGCCCGTGCGGCCAGCGTCCTCGTCCTGCGCGCTGTCGATGGTGACGCCCTTGCGCAGCGTCTGGCCCTGCGACAACGTGGAAGTCAGGTAGGACGCGTGCGTCAGTGTGAACCCCGAGCGGCGCACAGTGTGCGCCCCCGAGTTCGGCCACGTGAACTCCTGCTCGCTGGGCCTGAACATGAGCAAGCTCCTCGCCCGCGCGTCGGCTTCGCCGTGTTCGACGGCGCCTTCGGGGCCCTGCAGCAGCAGCTCGGCGACTTCCTTGCAGATCGGGGACTCGTTGAAACCGTGGACTTGCAGCCAAATTCCGCGCGGTAGGCTCCCGCCTGATGCGTCCTCCAAATTGAAGCCTCGGGAGCCCAAAAGCGACGACTGTTACATGCTTCCGCGACAGCCCTCCTCCTCCTTTTTCTCCTCCTCCTCCTCCTCCTCCTCGTCCTCCTCCTCCTCTGCCCCCTCCTCCTTCTCCTCCCCCTCCTCCTTCTCCTTCTCCTCCTCGCCCCCCTCGCTCTCCCCCTCCTTCTCCGCCGGCCGTGGCGACGAAGAGGGCCATGGGGGCCGAAAAGCCTCGGACCTCGACTCTTGAACTTAGGAGTTCGAACCTCAATGTAAACCCCTTCGTCAGACCTCGGTCATCAAAATCGATCCTAAGCCCTCCACCGAGTGTGTCGGGCGCAGTTTTCCGTCCTGGGTCAATGTTCGACGGCCCCGGGGCCCCCGAACGGCCCCCAGACGCCAAAATCAAAACGCCGACCCGACATCGACGACGACGATGACGACGAGGGGGCTCCCGCCTGAGACTTCCTCGCAATTCACTCACAGACGGGGCTCCCTCCTGATATTCCCTCCATATTCAGGCCTGAGGAGCTCAAAAGTGACGACAGTTACAGGATGCCGATGACCCGCTTCGGATTCGAACATGCAGTGCGGGCCCCTTGAGGGGGAGCTCCCGCTTGAGACGTCCTCGCAGTTCCCTCACAGACGAGGCCCCCGCCTGATACTTCCTCCATATTCAGGCGTTGGAGCCCAAAGCTGACGACAGTTACAGGATGCCGATGACGCGCCTCGGATTCGAACGTGCAGCGCGGGCCCCTTAGGGAGGGGGGTTTCCGCTTGAGACTTCCTCGCAATTCAGTCACAGACGAGGCTCCCTCCTGATACTTCCTCCATATTCGGGCCAGAGGAACCCAATAGTGACGACAGTTACAGGTTGCTGATGACCTGCCTCGGATTCGAACGTGAAGTGCGGGCCCCTCAGGGAGTGGGCTCCCGCATGAGACTTCTTCGCAATTTACTCACAGACGAGGCTCCCGCTTGATATTTCTTCCATATTCAGGACTGAGGACCCCAAAAGTGACGACAGTTACAGGTTGCCGATGGCCCGCCTCGGATTCGAACATGAAGTGCGGGCCCCTTAGGGAGGGAGCTCCCGCCTGACACTTCCGCACAATTCACTCACAGACGAGGCTCCCTCCTGATACTTCCTCCATAGTCAGGCCTGAGGAGCCCAAAAGTGACGACACTTACAGGATGCCGATGACGCGCCTCGGATTCGAACATGCAGTGCGGGCCCCTTAGGGAGTGGGCTCCCGCCTGAGACTTCTTCGGAATTCACTACGGGGCTCCCGCCAGATACTTCCTCCATATTCAGGCCTGAGGAGCCCAAAAGTGACGTCAGTAACAAGAATATTGGAGAGGCCTGACGGCGATCGAAGTGGCTTCCTGGGGACTTTTTGGAAGCTTATTGGAGGCCTCTTCGGACTTCCTGGGAGCTTCTTGGGGCGGAAGTCTCGAATTCTCGGTTCTTCGTCCGTCTCTGGCCACTCTTGGGCTCGTCTTGGAGCTATGCTGGGCTATTATCAGCGCGTGTTGGGCCGTCGTGCGTGTTTCTTGGGCCGTCTTGGAGCCCTCTTTGAGGCATCTTGGGCCATGTTGGGGCGCTCTTGGGGGCCTGTAGAGCCGTCTTGATCCGTCGGACAGCCGAAAAGGCGAGAAGGCTGCAATCATTGAAATCGCAACATCAAATTAACGATTTTAGCTTCTGGGGCTCTCTTGGGCTTGCTCTTGGCGCTCTCTTTGAGCTTCTCGGGAGACGCTAAAATGAACAATTTTAGCTCTTGGGGCTCTCTTGGGCTTGCTCTTGGCGCTCTCTTTGACCTTCTTGGGAGACGCTTGGGCCGTTTTCGGACAGTATTGAACGTCTTGGGCGATAGTTCGTGGATGCGTTGCGCTCTTGTACCGTCTTGGGGATGTATTGGGGCGCTCTTGGCTCGTCTTGGAGCTTTTATTGGCCTTCCTATTTCCCGGCAGGAAAACGAATCTGGGTGGCGACCCTCCCGTGACCCCCCCGGCCTCCCAGGACCCCTCCGGGACCCCCCCGGGAACCCCCTGGGACCCCCCCGGGACCCACCCGGGACCCCCAGGACCCTTCCCCCGCGCGGGGAAGGGATCAAAGGGAAGGGGCTTCCCTTCGATTGAACTACGACGTTGCTCAATTTCGCTGTGGACGGCTTGTCCGAGGAAGAAGGCCCAGGTGAGTGGAACTCGGGAAGACGGCAACGAGAACGGCTTGTCTGAGAGAAAAGGCCCAGGTCAGTAGGGAACTCAGGAAGACGGCGACAACGAGTCGAACGGGAAAGCCCGACTCGAACGGAAGAGCCCCTCATACACGCCGACAGGGTCGGCGGATCACCATCCATAATCGTACGAATAATGAGGAGACATTAATATGAATAAAACGAAGAAGTGGCCTTGGAAGAGACCATCCCCAAACCAGCTATGCCCATAAGGCTTGTGGGATTTTCTTTCTCTTCTGCGTGCATGTGGACACACTCAGAGTCCTGACGGCAGGAGCAGTACAAGCTGTTCCATCGCGAGGCTGGCTTGCCTTCCTGTCCAATTCCTGTTCGTGCGTATTACTTGCTGGAGGTGAGAGAGCAAGTCTCTAGCACGTTGATCAACCTACATGGTTACACTGCCCATGCCATGCCATGGCTGCCATTCTACATTGTCCGCACTGCAACAGTGTTCACACATGTCCTGCACCATCCTATGGTGCTTGCGCTGGCGTCGACGCATGGCTTGAGCGAGCATGTGCAGGTGGCCCCAAGGGATCTGTCTCTCGAGTCAGTTTCAGCTTCATACTTGCGGAAAGCACCCATCTTCGCGACGTCTCTGTGATTCTGATACCCTCCTGAGATGTGGGAGTGAGCGACACATGTGCTTCGACCACGAAACGCCAGCGTGAAGCTGCCAGTACCTGTTTTCGTTCTGTGCAGCTGGCGTCATCTTCGCATGTATTTGGTGAATGCAAGGTGTGGTTTGAGTTTACGTTATTACCCAAAGCTTGCCTATAGCGACGTTGACGGTCAAACCTCCGTGGCCAGGTCGGTACTTTCAGCGCTCCCTTCACGGGGTCCAGTATCCAAGACATTTCGCGTTCACCGCCCGCCCATCGAGTCATCGCAGTAGGCGAGGGCTGTCCAGTTGTGCTCAACACGGTTCAGGTTTTGCTTTTCGCAGAGCGTCATGTCCGCAGAGGTCGTTCCAGAATTCAGAGGCCAGCAACATATGTACACGTACGCGGTTAGCTTCCCCTGGAGGGCGTTTGAACGAGGACGTTCGTGCAGTCAAGATCGCGGAGGGCGTACATGTACATATGTCGTTGCTCGCCCAAGAATGAAGGCCCAGGGGTCTGACAGCCATTCCAAGAGGCCCCCCAGGAGGGTCGGAGGTGCGCTGGGGAGGGCCAGGACAGGGCCCCCGGACAGGCCCAGAGAGCACGAAGGCCACAAGGCTTGTGGACGACGATCAATGGAGAGGAAGCTGATTGGCTTGTTTTCCACCACCACCACCATAAGTTGGAGGGGGAAGGAGGAGGAGGAGGAGGAGGAGGAGGAGGAGGAGGAGGAGGAGGAGGAGGACCCCCTCCCCCTCCAACTTATGGTGGTGGTGGTGGAAAACAGGCCCATCAGAAGCGTGATGTGAAAAGCATGTGTTTGATATCTTGAGAACATGTTTCAAACATTTGAAGGCGCATTTTTTAAGTCAACGATCGGATTGTTTGGGTGTCCATTGTCATGGCATCCACAACCCAAGGAGAGACGAGGAGGGAGGAGCCCGCAGACGGTCCAAAAGGTGGCCCAGGAGAGCCCCCAGAGGGCCCCAGACGCCGCAAGGCATCTCAGAGGGCCCCACGGAAAGCCCCGAGAGGGCCTCAGGGCGGCCCAGGAGGGCCCCACAGCGGTACGCAAGAGGCGCCCCATCCCACCCAAGAGGCCCCGGGAGGAGCTGCCCCTGGGGAGACCCGGTGGGCTCCGAAGGCAGCCCATGGAGACGAGAGGCCCAAGGCCCACCGTGAGTGATCCAAGTGCAGCGGCACCATCGAGAGCCAGCAGCAGCCTTGAGCAGCTAGCGTTAAATCGGGCTCGTCCCTCTACAGGAGGAGTATTCAAAACTAGTCAAAACATATTCTGGGGACGATTTGTTTGTTTGTTTGATGTGCTTGTGTTAGTGTTTGTGTGTGTGTGTGTGTGTGTGTGTGTGTGTGTTTTGTTTGTGTGTGTGTTTTGTTTGTGTGTGTGTGTGTGTCTGTGTGTGTGTGTGTGTGTCTGCGCTTTTGTTTCGTTTTGTTTGTTCGTGTGTATTGATATATTCCATGTGTATACATGCATACACATATATTATCCAAGCTTGGTGTATTTTGTACATGCTTGTCATTTTTCTTCCAAACCTGCTTGTATGGGGGACATGCCCGACGTAAAGCTGGCGGCTTCCTGGACCGGGTGCGTTCCGCTCCCGTGCTGGCCAGGAGTTGGGTTCGGCACCCGTCCCCAGGAGTGCTCGCGTCGCGACAACAAAAGTCACGACGGGAGGCTTTTGGCAGATCTCGCCCTCCCAGGCCCTCCCTGGGCCCCGGGGGCCGTGGAAGCAGAACGACTCGGGGCGAGAAGCGTTCCTGGGCACCGGGTCGAGACATCCAGGGGCCCACGTATCGAAAGGATCAAGACATCGCATGTCTGAGTCGACGGTATCTGACGCGCCACTGGCCTGTTGGGCCGTCGAATCTCTACGGTGGAGAACCCCGACGAGGCAACGCCCTTCTCCTGCTGCAGCGCAGAGCACACGCAGTATTTGTGTCAGTGCGAGGCTTCAGGAGAGCAGCGCGGATTGAAGGTAATGAAGCGGATATGGAAGAGTGGACGGCCAGGGGATGCCCCACCGTTTCGCCCCGAGCCGCTTGCGTTTTCGCATCTGTGTGTGTGTGTGTGTCTGTGCATGCATGGGTGTGTCGCGTGCTTATGTACTTGTTGTGTTTGTTTGTTTGTTGCTGTTTGTTTACCAGTCTACTCGATTGTTTTTTGTTGTCTGTGCTTTCTTGTCTTTCTGTCCAGTGGACCTCCAGGGCAGGCCCAGGCGCGGCCGGTGCCGCCGGGCATCCCAGCTGCCTGCTCCTCTGTGCCCCCGAGGCGGCGATCGGGGCGAATAGCCCAAGGGCGGGCACTGCACGTGACGTATTCGCCGGGGAGCCCCGCCGAAGACGCGCGGGCGGCATCGGCGCCCCCGGCTCTTCGCCCCTGCCTTCGCCCCGCACTGCCGCCTCTCTTCCTCCGCACTTCCCTGCCTTTCTCGGCCGGCCCCCTCCTGCAGTTTGCACTCGCTTCTCCCTACCCCTCGTTTTTTTTTTTTTTTTTTTTTTTTTTGTTTTTTTTTCTGGCCCGCCGTCGGCACCCCCTCCGCACCCGCGGCCTGGCCGTCCGGCGCCGCTGCCTGCGGTGCCCCCCCGTTGCGCCTCCGCCGCCCCTTCTCGCGCGTCGTCCTGTTTTTTTTTTTGGAGCCCCGATCCGCCCGCATGCGGCTAGTGCCCCGATCTCCGTACCTCTTCACGGGGAGGCCAACTCGAGTCAAGCGTGGCCGGTTACGCCACTTCCGCGGGCTGGAGTCAGCCGCGAGGTGGAGGGGAAAGCGTGTGTGTGTGTGTGTGTGTGTGTGTGTGTGTGTGTGTGTGTGTGCGTGCGTGCGTGCGTGCGTGCGTGCGTGCGTGCGTGCGTGTGTGTGTGTGTGTGTGTGCGTGTGCGTGTGTGCGTGTGTGTGTCTGTGTGTGTGTGTGTGTGTGCGCCTGCTCCCCGCCGCTGGCCGCTGCCGGCGCCGCCCCCCGCCACTGCCCCCCCCGGAGGGGCCGGCGCTTCTCCCCTTTTTCGCCTGCCAGCTGTCCAGGGTCGAGCAAATCGGTGCCCCCCAATAAAACGACGCGAAGATCGGGACAAAATCGGATCGGGATCACTCGAAATCTCTGAGAATCGGCGGGTTTGGAGGACGTATTGGGCGCCGCGGCCGCTCCAGAGCGTTCCGGAACGCTCTGAGAGCGCTCCGGAACGCTCTGGAGCGATTTATCCCGATCCTGGCCCTGTTTTACCCAGTGCCCTCGTGGGCCCTTCCCCGGAGGTCCGAGGATCCCTGGAGGTCTCCCCTATTCCCCCACTTCCTTCTTCGTCACTCTGCTCGTGTGCCCGTGCACTTATACAATAGCCATCTTGGCCAGAGGGAGTTTGCTGACCTGAGCGCGCCGTGTAGTCAGCGAGCCCTCCCTTCGCTCTCAAGAGCCCGTACCCCTGCCGATGCGGTCAGGCAGCGGGCGAGCGGAGCGTGTTCGAAGAGGAGGGTGAGGGCCAATCGTCAGGCTCGCCACGGTTCGGCGACTACAAAGGGTGTGGTTACGCCAGGGTGTGGTTTGCGATCGGCGCCGTGGGGGCCTGGAGGGCACGACACTGTCCTCGTCGGGCCTCCTCGGGGCGCGGGCGAGAACTCTATCGAGGCACCCGCCCGCCCCTCATGGTGCTTCCAGGGTGCCGATTGCAAACCACACCCTTTGCAAACCACACCCTTTGGAGTCGCCGAATGGTCAGCTGAGTTCAGCGACGTAGCCACACATACCGACCACCGAGCAGAAGGACGACGTTTGTGGACAGAGCGGCAGCCAGTACGACCCACCGCAGGAATCGGCAACGTGGACGAGGTGGTGGGACGGTTTGTGGACAACACCCGATCCATAGACGGCGTGGCACGCCCAGGGCAGCCAGCAGCTGGAGGTGACAGACCCAGACCAGGCCTGGGCGGACTCGTGGGACGAGTCTCGACATCCGTGGGCCAGGTCGGCAGGAGAAGGAGAAAGGGTGAATTCGAGATTTTAGAGCCCCACCAGTCTGGATAGGTTTCGACCATCTGAAGCTTTTTCGGAGTAATTCAGAGAGCATGGTCGAGGAGAACCATGTATGCCAGTGAAGTGCATCAAAGAAAAGTCTCAGGGATGCTTTCAGTGGAGATCCAGGTGCAGTTCGAGCTCGTACGTTCCACCTTGGACGTTCGAGACGGCACCGAGAAAACGTTGGACCACCTGGCAACATTGAGCGGAAAAATGCCAGGGGACCGTGAGCGCGAGGCCCAGAACTGACTCTGGCATCAAGAGAGGTGAGTCCACCACCGACTATGTGCTCAGGAGGGGCGCTAAAGTGACCGAGGCCGAGACGTTCGGGTCATCTCTCCCGCGTGCGGTGCGGGGGCGCAAATTTGAAGAAGGAGCGAATCTCTCTCCTCAGAAAGGTATCGACCTCTGGACGATCTCAGGTGGCAGCAAGACCGTCGCCGACATCCGCCAGAATCTATCTCCGCTTGACGTGAGAGAACGAGAAAATCAGCCGTCGGCATCCTCGGGATCAGCCTCTGGCGGAAAGTCTTTCCCCTTCGGCGCGCATTCGAACGACGTTCCTCCTCTTCCCGTGCCGTCGTGAAACGAAATGGGTGCGGATGCCTACTGAGGACGTAGATGATCCGTTCGAGTTGCTCGAGGCAGACGCCGAGGTGGTCTGGGCAGTCTTTGACGAGCAGGATCTCCCCGAGGAGGAGTTGATGCTCGTGCTTGCAGCCGTCGTCGAGGAGAAACAAGGCAAGGATAAGAGGATAGCGGTGGGTGAAACGTTGAACATGAAGGCCGCCAAGCGCATCGACCGGGACTTTTTCCACAAGAGGGGCAGGCGCGAGACCGGGCCGCCGCGCGATTACCTCGGCCGGCCTGAAGAAGAAGAAGAAGAATATGGCCCGCGGCGCGACCTGTGGAGAGAAGTGTCATTGATCTGAGAATCGTCGCATACTGTTCCGATCCAAGTTGGACAGGCCGGCTGAAGAGCATAACGGCTCGACGGCTGCGACTCGAGGCAGCAGTTTTGGATGGTCCGGCCACTTCGCCAATGATGGCGACCCCTTCTTCTTGGCGCTTGGCGATGAGTTCCGCGGCAGTTTCAGCTGGCGGTCTCTCGGCGGGCATTCGTCCTAATTGCGCGGCCACTTTGAGTCGAGCACCTAGGGTCCGGACCTCGCCCCGGCCAGGAAGATCGAGCTTCCCCGCGGCAGCGCTGGCCGTCGGGCCCCTGGCCTGGCGGGTT